CACACACACACACACACACACACACACACACACACACATATATATATATACATGCAGGACCAGACCTTGACACTGAAACATGAAAGATTTCCAGAATAATAGTATCATAGGAGCAGATCAGTAATTTATTTAAAGATAAAGCTTTATTATACAGATCACCAAGCTTTGCATTAAAAAAATGCTTTATTTTTGCAGAAACATATTAATTCAAATTAGAAATCGGCCAAACGAAGCGATTAAGGTCAGCCTTAAGCTTTTGTACGTGGGACGATTGATGAAGCATTAAATATTTTTACTTAAAAAATACAGAAACTTTGGAAATAGATCTGAAAAATACTTATTAAAACTCCAACAAGAAACACGCCTGAACTGGAATGTCTTATAGTTCTTTAAAAATGTTTTAGTAACATTCAAAACAAAGACCAATTAGTGGCGCAGAACGGTATAAATTGGTTTTAATTTAAAAAAATAATAACAATGAAATAACTAAATTGCGCTGCAGTACCGAACGTGGCCGCGTCGTGCCGCTGTGCCCCTCCCTCACTCCAGTCTCCTTTGTTTACTTTCCCTGGTCTCTTTGGCTGCGGCTGAATGTCGGTCAGTAAGGCAAGTGGGCGGAGCCCTCGCTGCTCGATGACACGCCCACCACTATGCTCTATTCACACCGACGCGCTATCTGATTGGTCACGCCCCCTCCGCTGCGGCTTGGGATTGGCTGACGGTTGTTACCGGGTGGTGCGGGGACAGAGCGGGGGATGGAGGGGGGGGCGCTCTGGTTGTATAACCGTCTACGTCAGACACTGCTTGTGTTTATGTAAGACTGCAGCTCAGAAAGCTGAATTAACTCTAGGTTGTGTCCTGCAGCACTTTATTTAAAGACATACCACCAATCAGGACAAAGTGTAAACATAAAACCAGGAGAGAATCGATATTAAATTCATGTTTTGCGTTTTTAACTTTTAGTGTAACTCTTATTTTAATTTGAAAACATTTAATTATAATAACCAGGACATTCAAACAAAGATTAGCAATGATTGGCTAACTTTTGTTTAGTGCAAAGTAATGTGTAATAATTGTATATCTATGTGAAATATCTTTATTTAATCTAGTGAGGGTACTAATTCTTTAAAAAAAAGTATCATTTTCCATTTCGCTAACATCAAATATGATGACAGCTAAAACAAAACAACAAAACTCCAGCTATTCTTGGTAAAGTTTTATTATAAAAGCTATATTGTTCACAAGCAAATGTATGGAAATGGGATTGTTTGTGATTTTAGTTGTCATTTAAGAATAACATTTAAAAACATGAGGTATTCTCTTACTGGCTACAATATGGGCCAAATCATGATAATAAAAACACTTTTCCTTAACAAATGTTTATTAAATAATAATAATGAGTAAAACAAAGGTAGGTAGTATCACAGTGATGAATACTGTCCACTGACATAAAAAAACAAAAACAAAATAACTCGTCATTAGATGGAGACTGGAATACACGTAACATTCATATAGATATCAGTATTTGTACAATATTTACAGTCAGTCAAATAAAAACAAGTCGCCTAATAACAAAAAGCACGATACAGAAGCTTTGGCAAACAAACAGTGTGCGTACACGTTGCTAAATGTGACATGTACACATGAAGTAAACATGATTATACATGAGAGAGTATAAAAACATGTAAAGTTGGAGTAAAAAAATCCAGTGCAACGTCAGGTTTTGTTGGTTTCTGTGTGGATGAATAGCAGCCTGTGGTCTTGGTCTCCTCCTCCTTCCTTTTTGCAGAGAGTTTTGTGGTTGTGGTAAGAAAATGTCCTGAGCAGGGCGGAGCGGCGTCGGGGTGGGGGGGACGCTCCGCTGGCGGACCCGGTTCTGTGTCCGGGTTATGGCAGCACTTGGATCTTATACAAATACCTTTGAGTTTGTGTGCATGTGTACAAAGTAGTACTTTGATGTGATTTATGGATCTGAGCTTCTCTCAGAGGACGGACGGACATCTTTACAGGAAGTTCTTTTTTTTTATTTAAAGTTCCCCAGGTGTGTCGGACCCTGTTCTGAGGTCTTGTAAACGTGGGCCGGACCAGCAGACAGTGGAGAAGCTCTGGTTGTAGCTGGTGGTCACAGTTTGAGTCTGATATGCGCCCCGACCCTGCGAGTCCTGAGCTGACCCCGTGAGCGCCACAGGTCTTTCAGTTGGCGGTGGAGACCAGCACGCCGACAGGAAGTGCGGGGCCTCTGTTCTGGTTCTGGTTCTTGAGCGGGGCGCCTTTGCCGAGGTCCCGGCTTTCTGTGGGCCACGAGGACGCCCTCTTGCTCGTCATATGTCTCCGGGCGTGTTTGGTCAGGTGGTCGCTGCGCATGAAGCGGCGGTCGCACACGGTGCAGACGAACTTCTTCTCGCCAGTGTGCGTCCGGCGGTGGCGTGAAAGCTCGTCGGAGCGAGCAAACTTTTTGTCGCAGCCTTCCCAGTGGCAGCTGAACGGCTTTTCACCTGCAGAGAAGAAGAACGGGTCTGTTAGAAGCAAAGATAGGACAAAGATCAAAGAGTATGTAACGGTACGAGCACCAAAATTAAGACTATCGCTCAACCAGCAGTTGCTACATCCTTGTAGCAGGAGGCTATATTTATTCCTAACAGCTACTGATCTGATTAATGATAGGCCAGCACCGATAACTGAGAGACTGGAGCTGGCAAATGAGGAGTCTATTCATTTGGTTTAGCATTGGAGAAGCTAGCAACTAGCATAGATAAGCTAGCATTAGCATTGGAGAAGCTAGCGACTAGCATAGATAAGTTGGCATTAGCATTGGAGAGGCTAGTGATTAGCATGGATATGCTGGTGTTAGCATTGGAGAGGCTAGTGACTAGCATGGATAAGCTGGTGTTAGCATTGGAGAGGCTAGTGACTAGCATGGATATGCTGGTGTTAGCATTGGAGAGGCTAGTGACTAGCATAAATAAGCTGGTGATGGCATTGGAGAGGCTAGTGACTAGCATAAATAAGCTGGTGATGGCATTGGAGAGGCTAAGTGACTAGCATAGATAAGCTGGCATTAACATTGGAGAAGCTAGCGACTAGCATAAATACACTATCATTAGCATTGGAGAGGCTAGCAATTAGCATGGATAAGCTAGCATTAGCATTGGAGAGGCTAGTGACTAGCATGGATGTGCTGGTGTTAGCATTGGAGAGGCTAGCAAATAGCATGAATAAGCTAGCATTAGCGTTGGAGAGGCTAGTGACTAGCATGGATAAGCTAGCATTAGCATTGGAGAGGCTAGCGACTAGCATGGATAAGCTGGCGTTAGCATTGGAGAGGCTAGCGACTAGCATGGATAAGCTAGCGTTAGCATTGGAGAGGCTAGAGACTAGCATGGATACGCTGGTGTTAGCATTGGAGAGGCTAGAGACTAGCATGGATACGCTGGTGTTAGCATTGGAGAGGCTAGTGACTAGCATGGATATGCTGGTGTTAGCATTGGAGAGGCTAGAGACTAGCATGGTTAAGCTAGCGTTAGCATTGGAGAGGCTAGTGACTAACGTGGTTAAGCTAGCGTTAGCATTGGAGAGGCTAGTTACTAGCATGCTGAGGCTGCTCACCTACTTAATTAATCAAGCTTTTTTCAATAAAGAAAACTTTCTCTCTAAAATAAACTTTCTGTAAAGTTTCATCTCGTTGCGGCCCTCGTACCGAGCCATAAAGAAGGCGTCTGACCGTACCTGTGTGGGTGCGCAGGTGAGCCTTCAGGTGGGAACTCTTAAAGTAGGTCTTCTTGCAGCCGGGGAAGGTGCACACGTAGTTTCGTCTGCGGGAGAAGTCAGCCTGCGATGCGCTGCCGGTGCTGCCGGATGGCATGTAAACGGAAGCGGGGGCCAGGGGGAGGAGCTTGGTGTTGCCCAGGGTCATGACAGTCTGCGGGCCCTGCGGTGGCTGAGAGACGGACGCCTGGGGCACCACGAACATGACGGCGCCCTGCGGCACCGTGGAGCCCACCAGAAGGGGCTGAGCGAAGCCCGGAGGGGGAGTCTGGGGCAGGATGGGCTTGGGGCCCCCCTGAGTATGGACCTGAACCGGAGCCTGGACAAAGGCGGAGATCATCCCCGTCTGGCTGCTGACAGGAAACACCTGGCAGAGGAGCGGAGAGGAAGTGACGGCGGAGGAAGACGGAGAGGCGGAGTGAGGCGGAGACACTGAGGAAGGAGGAGAGGGCGGGCTGGTGGGGATAAAAGGGGGCGTGTCCTTGTCCTCAGGAGGTGTGTCTGGTTGAGGCGAGGCAAACCTTTCCGTCAGCACGGTGGGAGGCGGCGGCGGCGCGGGGACCCCGAGGCTGTCGGCCGTGTGGCGGATGACGCTGGTGGCCATCGCTTTGCTGGGCGGAGCCATGCAGGAGGTTTTGGCGTGAAGTGGGAGTGCTGACGTCTGTGAGGAGATCGGGGGGGATGCAAGACTGGGGCGGAGCAAGACATGTCTGGAGGCGGGGCTTAGAGCGGAGGTTGTGGTGAGGACAGCCGTGGTCGAGGCTTCGGCAAAGCTTGGACTGTGAGGCGGAGTCATGCACTGCAACAAAATACCACAATAAAACTATTTTATTAAAATATAAATAAAACTATTTTATTAAAATATATAGAAAGCATTTTATTAAAATAAAACAAATAAAAACTATTTTATTAAAATAAAACAACAAATAAAAATAATCATTTATCTTGTTTTTTTCACAAGTAAAAGTTGCTTCATACCAGTGAGGACAGGGCGATCAGGTCTTTGGGGGCGTCGCCTCCTTCCGGTTGCAGCTGGATGGAGTCACAGGAGTCGGAGGTGGGGGTCAGTGGGCGGGGCTTCTGTGGCCTTTGACACCAGAAGCTCATGCTGACCAGCGCCTCGGCGGCCTCCAGGTCGTGGTGCTCGACGCACGGCTTCTGCTCCGTGGCCGCCATCGCCTGCTTGTTCACGCGGTCAACCTGAGGGAGAACAGAGGTCAGAGGGATTTGTTCTTATCATCCAAAACATTCAGTTCCAGCTTCAACTCCTGCAGGTCCTAATCTACATTTGATTTACATTAAAGTGTCTTTTATTGGACCAAAATCAGGCTTTTGAAATAAACAGTCAGCTGTCCCTCTGCTGCAAAGCTTTTATTTTGAAAACTGAAACTTATCAAACTTGTTTTATTTAGGCTTTGCTTTTTGTTTTTAGTGTTTGTTGATCTTCTGGACCTGATCTGGTCTCAGGTTTCGATCAGTTTGTAATGAAGGCATTTTCTCATTGATTGGCGCCAGAGTCCACAACAGCTCAATGTAGCATCAAGCTAATAAGTGTCGACACAGACAAGCTGTTCGTACTAAATATTTACGTCATTCCACATATATAGTTTTAGCACGCTGTTCTATAACTCGGTTTTATATTAAAGTGTATATCTTTATATGTAAATTGTGCCTTGTTATATTGTGTTTCTGAATT